TGTGTGTGTGTGTGTGTGTGTGTGTGTGTGTGTGTGTGTGTGTGTGTGAAGTATTTGATGCTCACTACATTCTTGCGAAGATGCGTGAGTGTGGGGGGTTGTGGGAGTGGGGTTGCGTGTGCTGCCCATTTGGCACTGTGAAAGGCTCAACTCAGCAGAGTCACAAGCACCAGCCCAGACCCTTCCGGAGGTTAGGGGTTCGATTCTTCTCAGATGCCCATAATAAGCATATACAGTGGTATAACCTTACATCCCCTTTGGCACTGTCGATGTGTGCATGCTTGAAAACAATGATTCCTACGATGTGTGCATAAGTGTAGTGTACGTTTAAAACTGCTTTTTCTAAGCCTCTCGTGCCCTGTGCTTGGGGGAGCTGAGTGCCCTAAGCCCGTGGTTGGGGGGGGGCTGGGGAGCTGAGTGCCCAGGCTTCTACGATGGCAGCTAACCACAGCAATGACCAGCATGGCAGCTCCTACAGTAGTGATGACTTCGATTGGTTTCAAGGGAGGTTGCTGCACCCGGAGGAGTGGGCCTTCTTCAGCGGCGGCAACGCTCAGGATTCCAACATCAGAACCAATTTGCTACAGTGTTTGTCTCAGCACCCAATGAGCCTCCCTACCTTGGAAGAACAGCAGCTTTTTGCCTGCGTGCTGGTTGGATAAAACATGAAGGTTCACTGCCGACACATTACCCTGAGGATACCCCCGCGCCTCAACTTTCATTCCGTCAACTCAAGCGCAGGCGCGAGAAGGAAAGGAAGAGGCAAAGGGAGTGCGAGCACCAAGAGCGTGCACTCGAGCAAGCTGTGAGCCAAGCCCGAACATGATGAATGAATGAATGAATGAGGTGTGGAGTGGGCTTCGTGAGGGCCACACTGAGGCTTGTGGTATGTAGCTCGGGGGTCAAGCTGGCATTGTAAGGCAGGGGACTCACGAGGGGCCGTGTCTGAGGGCAGTTCATAGTGTGTGCGCGTGCTGCATGGTGCACAATGTGTGAGGGAAACCGGGCTCTCATACCTTGGGGTCCATGTAGGCAGAATTTACTTGAGGTCCCTCGGCCGTGGGCGCCTTTGAATGCGCTGTTTTCCTTTGTGGTTTGAGCGCTGAACTGCATACTGCTTGCCCTTGTGGGCCAGCTCTGTGCATAAATCGCAATTTCCTGGGCTTGGTTGAGTTTTGGGGAAACCTGTATTCGTGTGCATGCTACCTGAGCATGATGACAGACTGTGCACTTTATCAAATAACTCGAGCTACTTCTTTTTTGCATGCTCCCTTTTTGCTGCTTGCTCTTCTGCCTTACATACAGACACTGCCATGTTTCTTTTTTACATGTCTGCTTTTTATCTGTGTCTTTTCCCCTGCCTGTGTGTTTTACTGCATTCACTTGGTTTTCTAGGGAAAGCTGAGCAGCCTGACTTCATGGCTGAAGGCTAAAACTTACCTTGTAACCTAAGAGTGTGCATATTGGTTACACAGACTAATTGAGTGATTACATACAAATTTACTGATTACTGGCAGGAGAAGGACCGTCAGCTCAAGAGCAGAAGCTGCTCAACAATTCACGAACAGAAGCTGGCGTTATTGTTGCAGTGTGCTGCCAACCGACAGGAAATTCCAGTGAAAGCTTGTTTTCCCTCACGTTCAGTCAACATCAATGATGAAACAGGGCATTCAGTCAAAATCAGTGATGGAACAGTGGGTGGGACACAGGAAAACAGCGTGAGGTCCTGCTGAAAATTGATTGGACAAAATGCATCATGTCTGTCTGTGACCCAGTCTTGGAGAAGCTCTGCGTCTAGTACAAGGTGAATACATCTTCAACCTTGACGTTTAATTCATGTAATAAAGCCAGTACACATTCAAAAATTTACAACATATCATGTCATTTGCCCTTTCCTCTGTGTCGTCATTTTCAGCAAAAAACGAGAAATGTGTCCAAGTAATAAGTACATACCCTTTAGCCCCCCCTCCCCTCCCCCCTGAAAATTGAAGACAATTAAATTTCCTGTAAGGGCAAGACTCAGCAGCCTTAATTTATCATTTCAATACTCTGAACACAGGGGCCTATGAGCAGGCATTTACAACAGCTTGCCTGCCACCGAGGGCAGCAGCAGCGGCAGCAACGGGAAAAACAGAGGACATTGCAGGAAGGCAAGAAGAAAATGCACAGGGCAGGACACTCCTGACAGACAGACCTAATGATGTGCCTGAGATGTTTGGTTTGAGTGCACACTCGAGGGCCTCCTGGCAGTCCCAGCCTCCTTTCCAACTATGAATTGCGCCATTCTGAAGCATTGTATACTCCAAACTGGCACCAAGTACTTGGATGAAACTTGTAATGATCCATCAAATCATGTGCATGACTCCCAAGGAGCATATGTTCGTGCGAGGTTTAGAACCAGGCAGCTGCCCTCGTAGGCGGATATAGCGATGTAACCTTACCTTACCTTAGAACCAGGCATTGCAGGCCAGAGCAACCAGACAGAGGTGCCATCAGAGTTGCAGGTAATTCAGGGCAGTCTCAATTACCAGCCACCAGACACGCCATGCCTTAATGCCAAGGCAGCTGAGCACCAGCCAAAATGAGCAACTGCTGGGCTGGTCGAAATCAGGAATGTTTGTGGAGCAGTGCCTGCAGTTGCAGCTTAGTTGAGAGCCTTAACACGGCTGGCACCACCTGCTCAAAAGCAAAATAACATTTGAAAAAAAGGAACACAGGTGAACATGAAAAACCAGTGAGCCTCACCATGCGCACCGCCTGCCCAAAAACAAAAAGTGAAAAAAGGGAAACAAGTGAACATGAAAAACACTGTGAGCCGCACCATGGCTGGCACCGCCTGCTTAACAATACACGTGTTCATAAACAAACAAACGCGTACACAAGGAAAGCATGTGAGCCTCACCACAGCTGGCACCGCCTGCTTCCAGAACTCCAGAAAAAAAATGTCAGGGGTCGTGTGGGCCAAGAAACGCACCTGCGCAGCTAAGAAGGCATGTCAGAAGCCTTGAATGGCAGTGCCTTCCGGAAACCAGAACCAGAACACACACAAAAAGACAAAAATTCCGGCCGGGTACATTATTCTGGGTTTGACGGCTGTACGTCCCCGCTCCCATTGCCAATACTCCTGCTGCTGGCCATGCGCTTCTTCAGTGACGCAATGCGCACATAGGCTGCAGACGTCGCAGATGCCCCTCCTGAGACATGAAAAAGAAAAGCGTCAAAAGTTGGTGAGTCAAACTGGAAGTTGGACTCGGAGCAGAAAATTGACAGATTATCTGGAACCCATCACATTAGGGCTGTTAATCCACATGTAAGGGAAGAACCTGGAATTCCTGCCTTTGGGCCCATTCATGATTCCTTCAGAATTTGCTTGCTGCTGTTGGAAAAGAGCAAAAGCCCGCCCAGGCTGAAGTGATGGACCTATATCTCCCCCCCAAAAACAGCAAACAGCCTGCTTTCCACACGCTTCACGAAAGAGCAAGAGCTCGCTCAGGCCAAAGCCCAGGCGGGGTGCCTCAGCCCCGAAAATGGCACGTGAGCCACTTGTAATGTGCCAGGGCAAGTGCTCCAGCGCGAGGGGATGTTCACTGAGGGGAGGTTGGCACAAACCACCAAAAAAAGACCCATCTCAACAGAGTGCACAGAATGGACCAAAGACTTTGTGGGGACACCTTTAGAAACCAGACCACTGATAAAGCCCCACACAGAGCCCACTCAGCCCACTCTGGACTCCAGCAGAGCTGTGAAAGCAAAGGTCCCAGCCCCAACATCTTGACAAAATTGGTGAACAACAAGTCCTATTACACGCAGCACACCAAGATATGTCCTACTGTGGCTTAGATGGGGGACAAGCTCATGAAGCTGGGATGGGCATGCACATTGCCCGAGGCTGTGGCTGCCTAGGCAAACCTAAGGCTGGGCTAAACCATCGCTTGTTTGCTAAGTGATGGTTTGCAAACAAGTGATGTTTGCTGAGTGCATGCATGGACTTCCTCGTCCAATGCACCCAAGACCGGAAGCCTCCTTAAAATATGCACTCAGGAATCGGAAGCTTTTGCATACCTTTGGCTGGACTCCAGCGCTTGTAATCTGGGTGACTCACACAGAACTGCTCATGCGTTGCCTGCAAAGATGTTAGGGATGTTCGGGAACAGGACTAGTCAGAGTCCATTTACAGGTAAAAGGGCACATGGCAAAATCACACAGGCATGAGGTAAAATCACAAAGGCATGAGGCGCATGGCAAAATCTCTGCTTCCTCACATGCAAGGCAGGCAAATTGGAATGAAACGGTGCGCGCGCGCACACACACACACACACACACACACACACACACACACACA